TCGCCTGCACACATTCCTCACATACCTCATTTAGAATGTCGATTTCTGAAAATCCTGAAACCATATTTATTCTCCTCAAATCTCTGATGTCTCTGAAGTTGAGATGACCTAGTCTATAATGCCATATCCATTCATCTCTGCTAGCTGCAGTCGAAAGGCACATGTGCTCCATCACATTTAATTCAATCTTGAAGGTTCGATTCTGAGACATAGGAGCCTTCAAGATTAATCTCCCATTTGCATCAACGACTCTCATAATCTTTTCTTCGATTGACACTTTATAATTCTTTTCGACCAACTGCCCTATATTGAACAAATTTCTCTTCATGCATGGTATGTACAACACATTGGAAATTACTGACCTCTTTCCATCTTTCCTCATAATCATAACATCACCAATACCTTCAGCTGCTAGGGTATTGTCATTTGCAAATTTTACCATATTTTTTGTTGAGGGCTTTATGTTGACAAACCAGTCTTGTCTTCCAGACATATGTGATAAACATTCTGAATCCAAGTACCATTGGTCCTTGAATCTATCTTTATCTTTTGTTGTGACCATCAGCATCATCTCTTCTTCTTCATGTTTTGCAAGCTTTGCATCACTTTCTTGATTCTTTCGTTTTTCTGGACAATCACTCGAATAGTGACCATACTTCTGACATTTGTAACATTGAATGTGACTCTTATCAGGTTTTCGACCACCACCTCTTCCTCTATTTACAACACCACCTCTTTGGTTGCCTTGGTATGGTTTTCTTTGATTAGACACGTTTCCTTCGATCTGGTTTCCTCTACCATTCGATTTGTTATAGCCACTTATACCTCTGTCGAAACACTTTCCTTTGCCTTTGGTCTCTTTTGTTGAATGTTCCTGCAAGGCCACATCACTCTTCGATTTGTATGCAGCTCTTTCGATCATTCTTTGTTCGTCAGATTCAAGCGTCCCTTGAAGTTATTTCTTTGTCACTTTCAACAAGTCTTTCCCTTCTTCTATCTCCACCACTATGTGGTCGAATTTAGGAGCTAAAGATCTCAAGATCTTCGAAACAAAAACTCTTGTTGTTAATGTTTCTCCACATACCTTGATTTGATTTACTAGTTTTGTAACTCTAGTGAAGAAATCAGATATGCTCTCACTATCTTCCATCTGAAGTAATTCATAGGTTCTCTTGTGAGTTTGTAATCTCACTTCTTTTACCTTTTCTGCACCTCCAAAGGACTTCTCAAGAACGTCCCAAGCTTCTTTTGCAGATTCTGAATCACTCACTTTTTCAAAGTTTTCTGGACTCAGACAATGATGAATTATAAAGAGCGTTTTATAACTCAGCTTCTCAATTTCTATGTGTTTCTTCTTTTCTTCTTCTAAAGAATTTTCTTCAAGCACTTCGACTCCATCTTTTAAAAGGTCCCAAAGACCTTGACACCTGAATAAGACTTTCATCTGTTTACACCAATTCTCATAGTTGTCAACTTTTAGAATTGGTGGAGTTGCTGGATAATTTTCATTCCCATAATTTGCCATCGTGAATTCTTCAATCGTTCTTGATTGACACTTCCCTCGAATCGAAACAAAGCTCTTGATACCAGATGTTGGAAACTCACCAAAGTCTATGATGAATTTTTACCACAATGACAATTTAATTATGAGACAAACAAAGAAAGAAGACAAGACAAATAATTTCTGCAGAGTTTCTCTCTGCTCACAAACTGTGAAAACTTTCTTTATTCACTTTGCAACTGCAAAATACTGTGAATGACTTGTTTGACTTGCTTACAAAAAATAGGGGTTACTCCCTCTATTTATAACTGAGCTTGCACCCTAAGCCCAAAGCCCAAAATATTTATTTTGTTACTAAATCAAATCTAATCTATTCTAGACTTAAATCAAATCTATTTAAATCTAAACAAATCTAATCTTTTCGACACTATGAATTACAATTTAACAATAGGCACATCTATTTCCATTTTTTTTAATAAGGCCAAATTGAAAGCTTCTAAGTTTTTTATTCTTAGGCCTCATTTTTCCTTTTTCTTGAAAACTTTATCCCAACATACCTAATTTATTTTTGTGTCATACTTTCATCCCTCCATAATAACTTCCTTTGAATATTGACCAGAGAATGAAAAACCATCTTTAGTGCCTTGAAAGAAGGGATGCTACTTAGCATCGAGTTGATGAGAACGAGTCTTCCCCCAATTGAAAGTTGTTTTATTTTTCAAGATGCAAGTTTTTTCTTTATATTGTCAATATCTTGAAGCCAAATAGTATATCTATGATGATTGGCTCCAACCAAAAGGTCTTGAAATTTGAAAGGGATGGATTATATATTGCAAGATAATTAAGAAGGATGCTACTGCTTGAAGAAATACGTTATTAAGATTAAATCCATATAATTACTTTTATGGAAATTCATCTTCAGGTCGGATACCAACTCAAAATTTCTAAAGATGATTTTAAGGCTCTATAATTCCTCAAAATTACCACTACCAGAAAGAGTGTGTCATTTGCAAATTGAAGTATCTCAAAATTAATCCCCTCTATTACTTGATAATTGTCTAATTCTCCAAGTTGGGTAGCTCTTTGATATAGTTTTACTAGGCTTTCAGCCTTGATCAAGAATTAAATAGGCGCCAAAGGGTCTCCTGGCTGCAAACCTCACCTTACTTTGAGTTCATTGATAGGGTTTCCATTCACAAGCACTAACATTTTACTAGTGAAAAAAATTAACTATAAAATTATTGATATAAAATCTAACTAATAAAAATTTAACAAAATCTTTCAAACATACTTGTAAAATATTTACTGTTCTGAACTGCCTACAAGGCGAAAGGCCCAGAGAAAAAGTGAAGGAAGCGTTCAAAAATTTTTTTTAATGACAAAATTATATATTAATAAAGAGTTAAGTGCAACAAACACCAAAACACACAAGGATTATCCAAAAACAGAAACAACATCTAAAAAGTTATAATAATAAAAAGGCAAGCGAAAAAGGAGTCACTCAGAAACCAAACCATAACAACTAAAGAACCACCTTGCTAAAGACAAGCTAGATCTCGAACCGACCAAATCTACCATCAACAAATCTGATCCCAATAAATTTGAACTAAAGATCCACCACCACACTTTGAATCAAGATAAACAATCGATCCACTATAGGTGTAGGTAGATGATAGAGTTCTGAAGCCAATCTGTGAAGGTGTGAGAGTTCTCCCCAGATCTCCCTAAAAACTAATTCCAAGCTAAAAAAAACTATTTTCCTCCACTTTGCTCGTTGTCTTTGTGACTTCATTAAAAATAACATTGTTCTGGGCTTTCCAAATAGGGAAAATCACATCATGCCAAAGCAAAATGTAATCACCCCATACTTAACCTTATCCTCTAAAGAAAGAAAAAACTCAAAAAGCATCATAAGACCGAAATGAATAACAACCACCAAAGCCACCTAAATACTCTACACTAAACTGATAAGGCTATCTCACAAGTAACAAAAAGGTGAGAAGCAGTCTCATCCGACAACCAAGAAAAAGGACACAGAAGGATACTATGTTTGATAAAACCCATCTTCTAAACACGTCGATTTCTGAAGAAAATTTATCCCGCAATAGCTGCTAAGAGAAAACCAAAATCTTAGATGGAGCCCAGCTACCCCAAATGAGAAGGAGGACTTTTCCTTAGAATGACAAGGGGACCAACGAAGAAGTATGTATTTCCCCATGTGTCAGGTAAGCAGAAGCCACGAAAATATACCCCCACTAAAGTGTTTTCAAATCCACTTATCTCTATCCAAGGTTAGGGTAACATCTCTAAGCAAGGCATGAAACTCAGCAACCACATGAAACTTTTGAAGGAAGAAGGATCTCCTCCATCTAAGATCCCAAGTCAAGATCTCATTAATGACCCTTCCTAACTAGCCCACAAACCCTTTCTGGTGGATAGAGTTTGAAAAGAAACCAATATACTCGAGCTTGTTACTCATTCTTACCAAAAGAAGATACCTCTGCCCCCTAAAGCACCACCCACTGTCTAAATCAATCAGACAATTGTCTACTCTACACGCCACACTCCTCGTAGACGGTTTCAACTGCCCCATTATATAAAGAAGAAAATATGTCATTCTCAAGTATTCAAATTCATTCTCACTCACACATTTCTCTTTATTTTATTATTAACTTAAATATTAAAATACTAACTTTACAGGTCGTTCTCTTCTCCACTTTATCAAAAATTCATCTACACCACAACCAAACACTACCACCTGATTCAAGAATCATTTTAACTTTGAACCGGACATTTAAAAAACAAACAAAATGTAATGATTAAATACAATCCAAAAATCTATGCAGAAACAATGATTATATAATTTAAAAAAGTTCCAAAGCAACAAATTCTTAGATCTAAATTAATTTTAAAATTATAAATTAAATGGTGTAACTATAAAACATTGGCGGTTAAAACAATTTGTAAATAACACTTTGGTGTATCATATATCCATTATATTTTTTTCATCTGTAAATCAAAACTAATTCTTTTTTTGGTTTCTCATTATAGTGTCAAATTATTATACGTTTGATTAGTTGTTTCATATATATATATATATATATATATATATATATATATATATATATATATATATATATATATATATATATATATATATATATATATATATATATATATATATATATATATATATATATATATATATATATATATATATATACACGACTAATCATTTAGACTATAGGTGTGGTTATGCTTTTTCAAACTTTATTTCAACACATCACTCACTTTCACACTGGAAATTCTATAGTAATTTCATGTGTTAATCCTTTTGTCAATATTTCATATTTTCCACACACACCTTCTAAAACTAACTACTCCCATAACCACTCTTATCCCTTATATAAGAATGAAGCTCGTTCAATGAATGACAACTCACAATTAAGAATCAAGTTCCTTTACATTTCAACTACATTTTTTTACTAAGCCATATACCATGGTCCAAGAGAAGAAGCTAGTAGATGAAGTGTCTGGTTGGCTTAGAATCTACGACGATGGTTCGGTAGACCGGACATGGACCGGACCACCAGAGGTCAGCTTCATGATCAAACCGGTTGCTCCCCATGAAGAATTCATCGATGGAGTCGCAACACGTGACGTGACCATAAGCACTACCACCAATGACAACTTCATCCACCGTGCTCGGTTATACCTACCGGAGAAAACAGCAAAGGATAATGAGAAACTGCCTATACTCCTCCACTTTCAAGGAGGTGGTTTTTGTATTAGTGAACCGGATTGGTTCATGTACTATGAGGTTTACACTCGGTTTGTTAAGTCTACTCGGTCTATTTGTGTCTCCCCATTCCTCAGACGAGCCCCGGAGCATCGCCTACCCATAGCCATTGAAGATGGGTTTGCAACGCTCCGGTGGCTTCAGTCAGTGGCCAAGGGAGACGCACATGACCCGTGGCTTGAGAAACACGGCGACTTTGATAAAGTTTTTCTCATAGGAGATAGCTCCGGAGGTAATTTAGTTCATGAAGTGTCTGCTAGAGCAAGCTCAGCCGAGCTGAGACCAGTTCGACTCGCAGGAGCTATTCCCATCCATCCTGGATACGCCCGGTCGGAGCGAAGCCAATCCGAAAATGAAATGCCACAATCACCATTTCTAACATTAGACATGCTGGACAAATTCTTGAGTTTATCATTACCAATTGGTAGCAACAAGGACCATCCCATCACATGTCCGATGGGCGAGGTGGCCCCGCCTCTTAGCAGCTTCAAACTGCCGCCATTTCTTCTCTGCATAGCGGAAAAAGACTTGTTGAGGGATACACAAATGGAGTATTATGAAGCCATGAAGAAGGCCAATAATGAAGTTGATTTGTTTGTGAACAAGGAGATGACACATAGTTTCTATCTTAACAAGATTGCTGTGGAAAGGGACCCTACTGTTAGTGCTGAAATGAAAGCACTTATCGATAGGGTCAAGGACTTTATTGAGAAGCATTAAATTTTGAAAAATATTTCTTTTTTAGGGTTGGTGTCTTTTGTGGTGTCATTGAGTGGGTTGTTTGTTTTGTAATCGTATGAATGTGCTGTAACCTTTTTTATTTTAGTACTGTAATAAATAAACATCAAAAAGCCAGTTTGGATTCTATATTGTATACTTCACTTTTTAAATTTTGTACTCACTTATGAAATATTGACCTCATTGTTGGCAATCAAATTCAATGATTTAAAAATTGAATTGATCATCAAACTGGATATTGGACTATGAATTTATTGGTCGAATCACCGTGTTAGTGGTCGAAACGTATAATTAAATCAAATTTAATCAGATAATTCAATTGAATAAACTGATATCTATAATAAAATTATATATTTAATAAATTGATCGAACTGAATGACTTAATCTCTAAAAAAATTACGACATCTATAAAATTTCAAAATATTATAATTTCAAAAGTTTATTCTTTAAATTTAAACATAACAATCATAAAATAAAATAACAAAATAGTACAAAATAGAAATTCAACAATTTTGAACAAAGTCTAATGGTAAAGTAATAAAATAGTTAACGTGTCAAATAAATTTAATTTTAAGGAGGAAAATTTGTTCCAAATATTTTTTAACAAAATCTATTTATATTTTATCAAAAAATTATCAAAACGGCGTCGTTTTTTTAAATGAAAAAAAACAAGCATTTAACCTCGCTGATTTTCTAAAACCAACAATTCTCCAATTTTTACCGGTTTTGGCTAGTTCTGACCAATTTACACCGGTTTAATAATTTTCCCTATCCAACAATCAGACCAAATCAGAGACTGCTCATGTTCCCAGTTCAACCAATTTGACCGACTGATTAAGTCTAATTTTTAAAATGCTGATCAAATAGGTCGTCGACAATATGAGAAAAATATTAAGTATTATTTTAACATTTAAAAAATTTTAATCTTGGATACATGAGTAATATTTTTATGGCATTTTCTTGAGATAATTTATGGTCATATTTTGTTAAATAGTTTAATATTTGAAATTCACTTTTTAAAGATGGACAAATGAAATGTTACATATTTGAACTCATGTTTTTATATCTGATATTTTTGTACAGCTACCAACTAAATTGGTTTATCAATGACCGTTTTCATTAACATGTTTTAAAAATTATTTTAATAATTTAGTATTTTAAAAAATTCAATTAAAATCTTTTGATATAAACAATTTAGGGAAAGTGTTATTTAATGTTTTTAATGATGTTTAGCTTTATTTTTTAAATTTGTTTCATTATGGTTTAATGAATATTGTAATGAGATTTTGGTACGAGGAGCAAGTTTTTGATCTGACAGAGAGAGACTTGACTTGTAAGATTAATATTTCAATGTTTAAGTCACTGAGAGAATGAAAAGTAATGTAATAGTGCGAATGAATTTAAATATCTAAAATGACATAAGTTTCTCTTTATATAGTGGGAGTGGTTAAATTGTCCCCATGAAGTGATGTCTATCGTGCGGGTAGTCGCTGGATCTAATCAGATGAAGGTAGACGTGTCTAAAGAACGGGATTGTGTGTTCTTAAATGAATGAGAGATCACCTGCCCCATGCGCTTTACCTCTTCGTGGTGCTCAAGAGCCTTTTGCTTTGGGCCTCACTAACGGTCTATAATAGTTTCCCCAAAGCCTTGGCCCTGCTTTGTTAGACGAGATATTTCCATCCCCTAGCCCGACTACTTGGCAAAAGTAGACGAAGAGTTTTGATGGGACGTCACTATCACTGGGATCATGCACATTAAGTGTATTTCTTGTAATAAGTAATGTTTTTGAGTGAGTATCTAATGTGTGTCCCTATGCTAGTGAGTGATGATGATTCCTCTATCTTAGGGTACTCGAGTACTATAAATAATCTTAGAGGAAACCTCAATTGTTGGTTACACGTCTCACATTTCTTAACATAATGGATCGTATGGTCCACCATGGTTAAGGCACATATAATAGATTCTTGAAGTATCGTTTTCCTCCTTTTCCATTTTCTAACTGCAAAACCTTTTCTTTTTTTGTATCGTCAACTTCGATATTTCTTGTGATCTCTTTTCCACTAACTTTTGTTATTAGATTCACCTCTAAAATCTCGTTTGGTGGTGCGATACGGTGGCAGAACCGACTGTTCAATACTGGTTTTGCGTTTGTGTTTGCAAATGTTGTGGTAAGCAAGAGTCGCCACCGAATTTTCTTTTATCCAAATTAAGGAAAGGGTGAAAAGAACAGAAAAAAGAACTTTTCGAGATTATTCTGAGTAAGGGGGGTAGATTATGGAAAGGAAAAGTGTTAGCACCATTTCCATCCGTAGTTATCTACGGACTCTTAGAGGTTTGCTCATTTTGAAATACCTTTGTGCTTTGTGTGTTTTGAAAATATTTGGAAAATGCCTTAGTGCGGAGATTTGCTTTATGTTTAACTCTTGTGTCAGTCCTCAAGAGTGTTAACAAAGCAAATGTTTTGAAAATTGTTTTTGAAAAGTAGTATTTGTGTAAGTGCAAAATGTTTTTGAGCAAACTTCTAACAACTATTTGCTTTATACTCGAAAAAGGGGGCGTTCTTTTCCTCCTATCATTTAGACAGTACTATCATACTATTAGTGAGTAGGTAGCCCTATCGTTGGATGTATAAGGGACATTCGAAGGGACGTTTATAGTCACGAAGGCAACTTGTGGAGACGTTTTAGCAATTTTTGTTTAAGGACTAGATCATTTACCCAAAAGGCAACTGTAGAGTCATTGAGGGACTACGATCTTTTGATTTATGGGTCTTTGCTAAAGCGTTGCTGCCTCATGACTGTTTTATTTCTAAAGGCAACCAAAGTGGGGTATCCTAGAGGTGTATATGTGCAATTGATCTAATTCAGTTATTTTTGTCTTTTTGTTAAGTTTGCTAGCGTTTGATTATTAGTCTTATCATACACGCCTAATTACTAGCAGTTAATATATATTGCAGAATATTAAAGTGTAGGAATTTAAATCTACCTTATTACAATGCTTTAGGAGAGGATTTACACTGTACAAGAATGAGGGGGATAAAGCAGTAAATGTCCTAGTTTTAATCTATTACATACAGTAGGCAGATACAATGATATGGAAAATATGCAAATAAGTAAATGCGTACGAAGTAGAAAAGATGTCTGAAAAAATCCTAAGGTGAAAAATATTTTTGTTTTGTTTTTTTATGTACAAAAGAAAATAAAGCCTAAATCTTTTTAATTTTAATTTTAAAAAAGATGTTAAAATAACTAATTAATTTATTTACAAAATTAATTTAATTAGAAAAGACACTAGCCTAATGTTTTTTTATGGTTTTGATTTAAAGTTAATTTAAATAAAAAAGATCAATAAAGAAATTTAAAAAAAAAGAAGAACAAAAATAAAATATGAAGGAGTGAGGGGATCCTTCTATTCAGGGAGAATCATGGCTTCGATTCAGAAGAAATTTTTTTTACCTTCGATCCAGAGGAAGGTGGCTTTCGGTCCAGAGGAAAAAAGGGTAGTCTTCGATCCAAGGAAGGATGTTTGTTCTTTGACCCAGAGAGAGATAGTTGTCTTTCGATCCAGGGGTGGATGCTGTGAGGGCACTAAATCTGCAAAGGTATGTTAGCTAAAATGAATCAAATGCACGATCCAGAAATTTGGAATTTTTTTATTGAATTGTAAATGAGATATAGATAGAGAAAGAGACACAAAGAGAAAGAGAACGACACAAGGATTTGTTTAGGCAATTCCCCAACTGTCCTCGCTTTGGCTACGCCAGCCCCCAATTCCAAATGGAACTGACATATCAATCTTACTATTACAAATGATTCATTTACAAGAGAAATATTGTGATCCGATCCTACAAATCCTATGTTTGATGAAGATTCAAGCAAATTCTCTTCCCTTGACAGGAGTTAGATCAAGTCATCAAACAAAGCAATTTGATCCACCATCTCGCGCTACTAATTTGCAAGAATATTCGTTCTTCAAAGAGTTCACACGTTCGAATCCAAATTGTGAATTATTGTCATCCAAGATTACCAAATGATTCACTGTCTCGCGCTACTAGTTTGCAAGAACATTCAGTTCTTCAAAGGGTTCACTCAGTCGAATCTAATATATGTGTAATCTTGTAAAAACTCTCAATTGTACACTTTGATCTTGAGGTAAAAATTCTCACAGTTTTTTCGATGAAACCCCCTAAATTCTCAACCCAACCTTATGTTACAACCAATCTTAATTAAATATTATCAATCAAGTCTAGATGACACCCAAATATGAATGATTTTGTGTATTTTATTTGTGTGTATGCATAGATGCAAGATTGAAGATGATGAGCAATTTAGTATGTGTTTATGATTCCCAACAACAAGAAAACTCAATGATCATCATTTTCGAGGTAAAAGAAATTTGTTTACTGATGGGGTATTTAAGTTGTCGGATGGTGAATGATACTAATTCTCATGTCATTTTCTTGTCAATTTTTTTAATTGTATTATATGTCCTATTTAATCGATTGAATTTTGCGAGCAAAAGAATTTTGCTCAAAATTCTTTTGGATTGACAATTTAATTGTATTACATTGAGTTGATATGAATCCATTTTAATAATGTTGATATTATTGAAATTGTTGTTATCGATTTATAGCCATGCCTTTTTGAGCAACTTTTTAATAATATGATTTTAGTATTGATTGCCAAATGTTGTTAACTATGGCTTTTTGTTGTTGACAATTGGGGTTCAATTGGGCAGAAGAGTGCATAAACCTTAAAATTAAATATTTAAGGTATAATAAGAAAATAAAAGAAAATTAATATTTTAATAAATTGCAAAAGAGTTATAATGAGTTAATTATATTTTACAAAATGATTTATAATTCAGAACAAATAGGCTAATATATTTATTTAATGAACATTTCTATGTCTACGAAGATTTTAGCAACACAATGAAATTCGACGAATAACACATGCAACACGTCATATATTAGGGGTAGTTTATAAAGCAATTTACTAGGTTGATATAATATATAATTCATATTCAGAAATATTTTGATGCATTATTTAGAATCAATGTTATTCAGAAGTAGTAGATTTTCTGAGATTGTTAGTCACAAGTTATTACCAGTCAGAAATAAGAAACTTTTGAGATTATGTCTAAAAATATGCTTAGTTTTTGAAATTTTGGAGCTAAGTTTGTTAGCGTAATTCTTAAATTTAGTATTTTTTGATTTGTACCTTTTAATTTAGTCATTAAATTTATTTTTATTAGAGTCTACGTAACAATTTATTTTGTGTATAAATAGACTAATAATATCTGTCATTTATAACAATAATAATATCTATTTCTCTTACAATTTTTGCACCCGACATTTTATTCTCTTAAATATATATTATTTATTTATCATTGATTCTTGTGCACTAACAATACAACACATTTTAAGTTTCTTTGAAATAAGATGAAATTCTAATTATTTAAACTTGATGTTCGTGCTAATTTGTTTAAACTTTGTCATTGGTACATAATAAAAAGCGAGATAATTTTTTGAATTACAAAATCAAGTATGTTGAAAAAGCCTAACCGTTTGATGAAAGACATTTCTTATTATTGATTCCTTATTTTAATAACACAATCAAGTATCGCAAAAGTATTTGTCTAATTACTTATAACAACAACATTTTTGTCCAATAGCTATATCAACACACACTCCACCTAATTTAAATCCAGCGTTTATACAGTTTTGACGGCAATTTGGAGAACAATCCTCAAAACAACATAAGCTTAATTTACCGGGCACCCCTATAAAGCAGGATGCTTTGCGTAGCTCAACTGTTGGAGTCTTCAAACCATTAACCAATCCTAAATCAAAATAATATAATCATAATTCTTTTTATTAAAAATCCACACACAATTGTGAAATTTAAAATTTAAATTATGAAAATTACCTATTGAACCATGATTTAGAGACAATATAATCGCTATTCAATCGAAGAAATATTCACTTTATTGTTGAATATGTAGTATATGAACAAAGCATAATAAGTTTTCAATTATAATTATAGTAAATTGTTTATGAAATATACAAACTCAGAGATATTAATAGCAAATTTTTTCTCCTTACCTGAAACTAAGACCAAAGCAATGCATGAAACTCCTAAAAGATAAGATTGATAGTTATTAAAAGTCATTTTTGTTAAATTTTATCTTATATTTTATATTTTGTAATATTATATAAGAGTAACATTACTAACATCACTTCTATTATATAGATTTGAAAAGTGTGTTGTTTCTCATAAATTTATTATTTAAATTTAATAGAATATTATTTATTTGTAAGTTCTAATAAATATTAAATTACTCTTTTTTGACTTATTTACAGAAAAAGTTTTTAGAATCAATTGAATATGTCATATATCTGGTGTATATTTGTCCAAAAACATTAATTTTAAAAAGATTTTTTTTTATTTTTTTATATAAGACCAGAAAAAATATTAATGTAAGAAATCTTTATTCAAAAACGTTTCCATACATTAATATTAAGACAATCTCAACATTACATCTTATTCAATGGATAACATCATCAACATTTTGATTTTTATTCGTCACCATTATATTTTACGGATTAATGTTTCTCGTTTGAGAAATTTGAGAATCGAGAATCCCCTAGAAAATATCATTGTACCTGCACTATAAAAAATATTCTCATTTGCGACGTGAATTTCACGTCACAACATGAAAAATCACGTCACTATAAATTATTTGCGACGTGAATTTCACGTCACAACATGAAAAATCATGTCACTATAAATTATTTGCGACGTTCACGCTCACATGGCTGGAGAGGGGGTGACAAATTGTTTGCGACGTGATTTTCATGTCACAAAGTTGTGACGTGAAAATCACGTCGCAACATACTTTTATAGGAAATACAACACTACAGGAAAATCAAGCGTAGCCGAATTAAAGTAACTTTAGTTGCGATGTGTTTTTCACGTCGCAAATTAGTGACGTGAAAAACACGCCACCAAATAATTATATTTAATGCCTATTATGTATTTAGCTTTTATTTTTTTTATATAAAAAATGAAGTTGCGACGTGATTTTCACGTCACAACTTATGACGTGAAAATCATGTCACTAATGTTTTTTTTTTATTTTTAAATTTAATAACTGAATTTGTTTTTTTTTATATAAATTCAATTTAATAAATTCAAATAATAAATTCAATATGAAATAAATTCAATATATAATAAATTCAATATATTAAGTTTAATATAATAAAATTAATATATTAAAATTATAAATTTAAGAATTAATTAGTAGGTTTAATTAATTAGTATGATATACAAATTCAAATTTGAAAGTAAAATAAAAAAATTTAAGTTTACGGGTCATCTTGGTTGGTATAATTGTCACTGTCAAAATTATCTTCGTTTCCGTCATCCTCCGACTCTTGACCACCAAAGTTTGGATTTCCACAAAACCCTTGCATAAATTATCTCATTTGTTGCTCCATGTCAGCTTGCCTCTTTGCCATGAACTCCATTTGTCGTTGTTGTTCTTGCCTCATTGCCTCCATTTGGGCTTTCATTATCGCCTCACGTTGCGCTGACTCGCGTCTGTTGGCTGAAGATTTTGATGATATTATTCGAAGCGAAGTAAGTTGAATGTTTCGATTGGAATAAAGCAAGATGTCATGTTTCGAAATGGTAGAAGCAGTGCTTCGAATGGGCATGTCAAAACTCTGAGCTTCGAGTGACAGTTATGGGGATATATTCAAAGAAGTCTCGAAATGGTAACAAGGCTGTGTCCAAGAAATGAGTTCGAAACAAAGAGTGCCAAAACATTTGAAATTCAAACGCAAGCGGGATGTTCGAAATTTAAAATATATGCGCTGGTGTTTACCTTGGTTATTGGTAAACAACCGCTGATCCTCCAAATGGTTACTTATTTGGTTACTCGCAGGATCGATCAGATTGATCCTAGGACATAGGTTGATTTTGAAGTTTTGATTAAATTGGATATTGGTTAAGTGACAATAAAATAAAGAGGCTTTAAGTAAATTGCATGAAGAAAGGACTTGGTAAAATAAATAAGGCTTTAAATGAAAGGGTTCGACGGGAAAGTAAAGAAGAAAGCAAGTAAATTTCTGGAAAAGTAAATGACTTTGATTAATAAAGTTGGTGTTTCACACATACATTTCTCAACAATTCTTTCTCACACGCTGGGTACTCGAATCTATATGAGTGACTTTGTATAGAATTGTGAACACACGCGAGAAACTACATGACTACTACTATTTATACTAAAACATCCCAAGTAACCGTCGGGCAGTTACACTGCTTCGAGATGAGTCCACTTGGCACGTTCTCAACGTTCGACGCCCCAGATCTTTGCACGTTGCACTTGGTAACCGCTGGAAACCGTTTTCCCTCCAAACACTTGAATTTCAAACCGTTCCACTCTGAACCATCGAACACTTTCGTCGAGAAGCATCTTCGACGAGAAACACCTTCGACGTCGAAGGCAACCAACTTCTCCCTTGGAAGAAATCTTCTAAGTACTTTGCCATCTTTCGATGGGCATTTCGACGGACCTAGCTGGTCGAAAACATCATTCAGCTTTAATGGCTGACATTAATGAAACAAGGGTGTCGAATTTAGGAGCCAACAAATTGCCCCCCAAGAATGCCTTATTTCGACTCTGAAAGAAAAAGGCATTCTTTGAAACGCCATTCGACACCTGTCTTTTCAAGCTTAGTCACAAATTAAATTGTGCACTTTTTGTTGTCTTCTACCAACCACTGGCAATCCCAAGAAAAACCATCATTTATCTGTACCTAAGACGTCACCTCAGTACGGCGTGCAGTGCCAAACGTCATTTCAGAATTTGTCATTATGACAATTCCCAAAAACGAGGACACACGCTGCGCCCCTCCATTTCTGCAGAACGGCTAAAACAACAAGGGGACGCCACGTGTCCCACTATCTCCTGCAACATTAAATGGCATTTAATGTCCTCGGTTTTGGGGATTTTCCCCCACTACTATAAATAGCAGTAAGTACCCACTGTGGGACTTTTTACGCTATCTAGCTTTCAGACTTCTCCATTCGCACACAAACTTGTCATCTTTGCAAAAACCCTTTTTCCTTCACTTCGTCTTCATCCTCACCATTAACAATGGCATCTGGTCCCTCCACTGCTCCTAGCGCCACCGTACCATCTGGAAATGTCAAACCTAAGGTTTTCGTCACTGCTCCAGTAGTAACTTCCACGGGCCAACAAAGGGTCCCTGAACCCTTGGACATCGCTGTACGTGATGCTTACTCACACCACCTTATGATCCCGGTCGGATATTCCAACCAGATCTTTGCTATGTCTGGCCCCTTGTATCCAAGTATTACTGAGGCCATGAAGATCAAGAGTTATTTTCCGGTAGTTGAGAGACTCAAACCGGTTGCATGCGCCAAGAAAGATGCAGAGGATAATGAAGACCCTGCTAAAGAGAAAATCGACCTTCGTTTCTTCAACAAAGGTGTTAGGGCTTTCAGGTCTGGCCCTAGCCTTACTCCTGATTACGTTGCTTGGCTAGAAAAAATGGAGAAACGCCAAGCTTCGATCTGGAAAGATATGGGGATTTTCGACCTGGTGATGCTGTCGAAGACAGGTCTGAACTATTCTCCGGAGATGCTGATAGCTTCTCTACTTTTCTGGGACTACTCCCACTTCACTTTCCATCTTCCCTGTGGGATGCTGACTCCTACACTCTTCGATGTGGCCGCTATCACTGGCCTTCGACCCACCGGGGACTACTTCGATCCAGAGGAGATGTCGGAGGATCAAATTGGATTCTCTGCCACCAAACCAACCTATACCACCTTCATCAATCACTACCACGACAGGTCGACAGATGCTGTGTCGGATGTCGAACACATTGCGTTTCTAGCCTTATGGCTGACACGCTTTGTGTTTTGCTCGAAGTCCTTACAGGTGACCAAGAAGATGGTCACTCTCGCCACTCAACTCCATCATGGCCAAAATATCTGTTTGGCAGAATTGATTTTGGCTAGCCTGTATGATTCGATTAGTAATGGAGCGACTCTCCTGAAGATTATCGAGAACAGGGCCAGCTTGCTGCTTGTTGGACCTTTTTGGCTGCTTCAACTGTGGCTCAACGCCACCTTTGAATCTTTCTTGCCTAAGAAGGTTCAAATAAATGAGCAGGCTCCAGAGATAGCGAACAGACGTGTCGAAGGAACTAGACTGGCTCTGTTGACTCCGATGGAAGATGGACTGGAGCTTCAGCAAACTTTCACAAACTTCGTTCTGATGTTTGCTCGAAGGAAAGAGTTTGCTTCGACTATGGCTCCGTTTGCTCGACGGAAGGTAGGCCCAACGTGGTTCACAAGGCCACATCCAAGGACGTCGAGTGGTCCTCAAGTTGACGAACATACAACAATGTGGGAGGCGTTCCTCACACCAAGGATCATGCCTCTTCGATTCAGGAGCTCTAAGACTCACTTGAGTCTGATTGCATATCAACCAAACCTGGTGTCTCGCCAGTTTGGTATTATTCAAACCCTACCTTCTCCAATTTTTCCAAGAGAGAAGTCTATGTTGTACTTCTGCAATGACTACACCGAAGAAGCTGCCACTAAACATATCGGAAGATATGCTGGTCGAACAGTTCTCTCGTTGTTTGACTACCAGCTCAACTTTCTTTGCTCACCATCCTTCGAGGAGTGGTGGAAAAGTTATTACGCTGAGGAGTTTTTCGATGAGAAGGACTTCGTGGATGAGCTTCAGAAATCTTTTGTCCTCGTTTTGGACAAAATAAAGAAATGTAAGTTCATCCTTTCGAATTACTTTGTCTTTCTCTTTCGACTGCTAGCCTGTTAACTATTTTATTTGCTTTCAGTTGTTCGAAAGCCTGCAGCCAAGAAGGCTGCAGAAGGCCAACAGGGAGGAGGCCCCTCAACAAAACCTCCACCGCCGGCGAAGACTATAGCGCCGGCGAAGACCACAACAAACCAACAGGGGGAAGGCCCTTCGAAAAAGCCTTCTGTATCGGTAACCAGACTTTCATTATTTTCTTCTGGCTTTTAATTTTTTGACTTTCGATGCGATTGTTAAATCGAATTCCCATTGGTTTTTTAGGCACCTTCGCCCAAGAAACGGCCAGCACTGG